TTGCTCTTGGCAACTTCTCACCGCCTGTGTGTGTGAGGAGCTGAACACGCCTCATTTACGAGTGTAGAGAAGTACTTACACAGCTTTCTCTCTAAGGTGACTACCCTCCCTCATATCCAACCCCTGAACCGCTCTGCGGTGTGAATAACAGGCATGCAATCGATTGAGTAAAATCGAAAAAGTTCATGGTTTAATCCAAGGACAGGGATTCGTGCCAGGGTGAGCAAATGAACCCCATGCATCTCCTTGGATTGAGCCTTGATTATGCTTATGGTGATTACAGTTGTATTAGCCTCACAGCCAGACCTTTCTCCATATTTAGTTTTAGTACTGTGCCAGGGCTGGAGAGGTCTAACTGAACCCATCATCATCATCATCATCATCATCATCGTCATCGTCATCATCATCATCATTACCTGCTAGCGGCGCTAAGCCCAGGATTCAGCAACTGTGTCCTTTGAAACTGTACCAAGCAGATAGTGTACGGGGAAGAGAATTCTGACAGAATAATGAGGATAATGTGCAGGGAGGTTTTCATTTAGAAGTATTCAAACACTGCCAGAGCCCATACCGTGTTCCTGTTAGTGTTACTTCCTGTTTGTCTTCTTCTGTTGATTTCTCTGACTTCCAGCTCTTTCTCTTTTAACCTCTTTCCTTCTCTTGTTTTCTTTGTCTTTTCTTTACTCGGGACAGTTTAGTCATCGTGAATCCAAAGTGTTGTGCTTTCCATAAATATCAAAATGAATATTCAAAAAGACTGCCCATAGTCCCTTGATCCTCCTTAGCAGCGGTCTGTTAACATTAGCAGCGGTCCGAATTAACTGAATCTGAAACTAAGCTGTGAAATTAATCTAGTTAAATGATGTTGATACCTACGCGAGGAGACTGTTTTAATATACCATGATTTTTTTCATCCATCCCTGCGACAACAGATCCCAGTTTTTAACTTATCGGTTCCGTATTTTATTTTGAAAAGCTTTCTTCCTCTGTGTCATGTCTGTTTTTACTTCCTGTCTTTGTGTGTTTTCCTGCCTGTTTTGATTGTCTGTCCTGGCTCTATTAGTTCCACCTGTTCCCCATCTGCCCTTTGACCACCTGACCTCCTGTGCACCTGCTCTTTATCCCCTCATTATATTAAGTCCTGTTTTCAGTTAAGTTTTTGGGTTCTGGCAATGTTCTGCTCTGGTTTGCCCTGTCTGCTTTCCTTTCCTTGTCTGGACTAAGCTTTTAAATAAAGGTAGTTTCTGCTAAGAGTAACTGTCAACTGCATTTGGCTTCAACCTGCTCTGCTGTCTGTGACACCCAGGGAATTATGTTCTCCTGAATGAAATATCTCATATCTCCTGGAAGGACTTTCTTCCAATTTGGCACGAACGTTGATTTGAGAATAAAGGATAAACTGATTATAATTTAGTGGCGCATGAAGCCAGAAAGGGGACGACTGTAGATTTTAAAGAATACACAGATTACAGGTGGACTTTGGTATGTGCACAATCTCATTTTCCGGTCACAGCTCAGTCAAATGAATGGAAAGTGAAAACAACTCTGGATTAGGCCATTATGGCATTTTCCAACTTTTAAACACTAATGATTTAAATAAAAAATGCTGATTTACAGACATCTCTTTCCCATGAAAGTAAATGGGAAAACGTTTTTTTTGGCCACTACGAAAATGTGCTTTAACGGCCGGCGCACTTCCTTGGGCTTGGTCTTACCAGTATGTGACATTTCCAACTGTATTTCCATTAGAGGCCCATGTGTCTGAGGTATGTGATTACACTTCAGACTGAACTTCTGTGAAGATTGGGTGACAAAGAGGACCATACTGAAGGTTTCCTCTCTGAGCATGGGGTGCAGTATAAAAGTGTAGGTCACACGACGCAGGGTGAGTCACTCCTGTTCCACAGGCCTCATTCTTATTATGGTTCTCCCATAAAGGTCACTTCATTTTTGAATGTGAATATAGTGAGCAGGTCGGTAGGATGTGGAAAGAGCAAAAATAAAATGGCTTTTCTTATCAGCTGCTGGAGTGCTCTGTGGGTGAATCTATCCTCTCCTCTTTCTTTTCCCTGGCAAATGAAGCCAGTCAGTGTCTTGACGTCCGCCGGCAATGGCGTCGTTAGAAGCACAAGGTTGTGTGAAGGTCGAGTAAATACCATTAGGCCTCCGACCTGCCTCCCTCTGGGAGAAGTGACGGAGGAGCTTAAAGTGGAAAGTGCTGCCGGAGCCCTGCAGGTGGATCTGTGTTTTAAAATGGCTTAGCGTTACATTCTGTCTCTGCTCCCCAGAGGGAGACGAGAGGGGACATAAACAGAGCTCTGTGTCTGTGGGACATCTCTTCTGTTCAGTGATGGAAGAGGTACTCAGATATAATACTGAAGTCAAAGAGTCAATTGTAAAAATACTGCACAGTAAAACTAAAGTAAAACTCCTTCTTTTAAGATGTACTTAAGTAAAAGTACACTCGTATTGGCATCAAAATATACTTACTTACTCGTTAAACCTACTGGCCCGTTTCAGAGTCATATATTTTAGACTACTGCATTATGATTATTAATGCATGAATGTGTTCAACAGAGCTGGTAAAATCATTTGTAACTACTACTGCTGCTGGATATTTTAACCTATTAAACATACCATAGTTTAGTTGATTTTTTAGTTTCCAAAATGTAGTGGCATAAAATAAAAAACATTTGTTAAAGTACCTCAAAATTGTACCCGAGTAAAGTACCTAAGTAAATGTATTTGATCCCACTCCACCACTCCATCTGCTCTGACAGACATCTGTTTTATGCTGTTGCACATGATGCATAAGATAGAAATGGAAACACACAGAACATGTGAGTTTACGTGCATATTTCTGGATGGTAATGTTGAGCTATGGGGAAACAAAAGTGATTCTTATCTGAAAATGTGCTGCAGCGCATTAGCATCTGAACACTGTCACATGAATACTGAGTGTTTCACCATAATCAAATGGTGACGTAAGCGTCTGATGGTTTCATAGAGTTTAAATAATCCATGGGTGATAAGGAGAGCAACGTCTCTCTGGACAGCGTATCAATAAAGGTTTATCACAGTTCAGGTGTGCTTTTGAGACCTGTGAACATTAGTGGAGTCAGAAATACCACAAATGATGTTACATTAATTTAAAGCTATTGAACGTAATACAGTTCTGCATTTTTAACCTGTTAACCTGTTAAACCCCGAGCCTGTTTTTCAGGTTTCAGGCTCGAAAATGACATTCCCAGAACAAATGACCATATCTTCCCTTCTAAAAGGGTTAAATTAATAATCTTTTTTCTCAAAGTAATGATAAACCTGTGAGTTGGATGTAGAAAAGTCAGATTCAATATAGATGTTTTTTATTTTAAAGAAAATTCAGATTGAACATGGTAAAAAACTGTAAATTATAGTGTCCGTCCAAAAAATATTTTGTACTTATAGTGAAAACTAACCTTGGATGATGGGTTAGTAGACTAAAAGCTTTAGGAATCCAAAGTACAACATATAATAAGTACCCTGTATGAAGATTGATGCAAAACAAGTGATATTTGACCTTTTTAGACAGATTTAGCAAAAAAAAACCTCTTCTGTGGCCATTTGGGTGGATTTTCCATATCTCTGGCCCCCCTTGCTCGATTTTGACATGTGACATCTCTTTCTGACAGTCAGAGCCAATGGAATGGAGGGGAACTCCCACATAGTCCTTATTTGGTCATGTGTATGTGTGAGACTGCTGCATCGCCGAGACCGGAAGCAGCAGCTAGCTGTGGTAGCTACCATTAGCAGCTAGCATTTACTCTCCGATCTTTACATAAATATGGAATTATGGATTATAAATTCAATCAGTTTTGTATACATGGACGTTAAGAACCTATGGATTAACCGATTCAGCCGCGTTTTTTCTCATTTTAATGCCATTGAACACGTACTTTGATCAGATTGACAGCTACTTGTGAGACGATCTCCCTAGAAGCTTCGTAAAGGTACGTGTTGTGATGACTGTATTTGCTTCCCCTGTCGCGAGTCCGGATCACTCAGTGATGAAACTATATACCTACATAATCTATGGAGTCTCAGCTTTAATCGGATATATTGTATGTGCAGCTATGATAAGTAATACGGGTACTTTTATCTTGAGTTCTGTGCCAATGTCCGTTAGCATTTTTCGCTCAGGGGTAATTTAGATGCTTGTGAGACTTGTGTTTTGTTTTGGTAAACATGGTTTATATCGGCAGTTAGCTGAGATTATTTCCGTTAATCTGGTATAACACATTAATAGGTTCTTAAATATTAGGATCCCCTGAGACACAGTATCGTGAAAAAAAGACCCAGGGTCCCCGCCGGCGGGGACCTTGGGGCTTAACAGGTTAAGCCCGAGAGACCCCGGTACCGGGGCCCTCCCGCAACATCTTGCAGGAAACAGTGTCTGAGGGCATCTTAACATTTAATAAACTATGAATGTTTTATATCCATGTAACGGGAAGAAACTCATCTAACTGATAATTTTTATTTAAAAAAACAAAAAAAAACACAATGCTAACACTGAGCCTCTGAATTAGCAACGAGCGAAAAATGCTAACAGATTACTGCACCGAAACTCACTCATAAAACCTTATTATTTATCCTTTCTGCACATGCAACCCATCGATTCGCATCGTGAGATGACACAGAATATATGGGTACATACATCATCACTATATGATAAGAACTCGCGACTTTATAAACAAAAACAGACATCAAAACATGTGGCGCTAGGTAGCTAAAAACGCTAACATGGCTTACCTGTGTCGTTGTAAATGGTAAATGGACTGTGCTTTGTTAGAGATTTAAAGGGATAACTGGTCCGCTTTTCAAATCTCCGCGCGTCCCTATCAAGCTGGTTATAATACAGGAAGGAATCCAGAGCTACCAAGTAACCGTTAAACAATAATCTACTTTAATGGTAATATGACAATGCAATACAATCAATACAGTACAAATTTAATACAAATTACCTTTGGGATCCCGAATTTACCTGCACGTGTGCCAGCCAGAGGAAAAAGAGTGAACACAGCGTGTGTCTCTGTGTTTATACTTTCTAACAATGGGAGGAGTTATCTGATCCGCCCTTTTGGACCTCCTTGATTGGATCACAAATACCTCAGATCTTAGTTATCTGATCCGCCCTTTTGGACTTCCTTGATTATATCACAAACACCTCAGATCTTAGGTTTCCCCAATCACTGTAGCTCAGTTCCATTATCTCTAGATCTAAGTTGAATGCAAATCAATACATGCTCTCACCTTCCTTTGTCCTCAAAAACACATGTCAACAGGCCCCAAATCCAGCTCACAGTTTTACACAAATTATTTCCCATTTTAAGCTTATTCATAGTTTGCTAACATGAATACATACAAATATTTCACTACAGCTTGTATAGCGCTTTATCTAGTCTTTACGACCCCTCAAAGCGCTTTACATACTACATGTCATTCACCCATTCACACCCATTCATACAGAGCAGTACCACTTGGAACTAACATTCACACACATTCACATACCGTTGGCCATGCCATCGGGAGCAACTCAGGGTTAAGTATCTTGCCCAAGGATACATCGACATGTTGGCTGCACGGGCTGAGATCGAACTCACAACCTTCTGGTTGAAAGACGACCGCACTCCCTCGCAGCCACAGTCACCCTTGTCTGGTCAAAAGTGGTCCTCAATGGCATTAAAACGATAAAAACGCTGCTGAAGTTAATCCATAGGTTAATCCAATGTGTCTGTGTCCCTTTGAAATGATTTCTGATAATCCATAAGCAATAAACCTGCTTTTCCGTTTCCAGATGTCAGAGTGAGAGATAGGTTCGCTCTCATGCAAACCTGCATGCGCGAAGCCCCCACCTTTTTTTGTTACCATGTGTGTGTGTGGGGAAATTCCCCTTCGATTCTATTGGCTCTAACGGTCAGAAAGAGATGTCAATCACCAAAATCGACCAATGGGTTCCAGAGAAACGTTAAAAACGCCCATTTCCACCCAAATCACCTCAGAGGTGGAGTTTTTTTTGCTAAACCTCTCTAAAAAGGTCAAATGTCACTTGTTTTGCATCAATCTTGATACAGGGTACTTATTATATGTTGTACTTTGGATTCCTAAAGTCTACCTTACCATCATCCAAGGGTAGTTTTCACTATAAGTAAAAAAGTATCTTTGGACGGACACTATAATTTACAGTTTTTTACTATGTTCAATTTGAATTTTCTTTAAAATAAAAAACATCTATATTGATTCTGACACACAGCAGGTTTGAAGGAAATACATCCTCACTATCATGTTGTGTGAATGGAGGTGAAGGTGGGAGCACGTCAATGATCGTGCCAGTGTGGATTTCATCATCTAACACTCCTAATTCTGAAACTCTGGTGTATGCTCTATTGGACACCCAAAGCAGTCACACCTTTGTAGAACAGGAGGTTTGTGAGAAGCTGCAAACAGAGATGGAGCCGGTAAAACTAAAATTATCGACTATGATGGGAAAAGACTCAATTGTAAAGAGTCAGAGAGTTTGTGGACTCAAAGTCAGAGGGTTCACCTCAAATACCTCCATTGATCTGCCTCCAGCTTATACAAGGGATTTAATTCCACTTGAACGTGCGCACATTCCAACCTGCAAGACAGCCATAAAATGGAAACACCTTGCAGATATAGCTCAAGAGATGCCTCCACTTATAGATTGCGGTGTTGGATTACTGATTGGCTATGACTGCTCCAGAGCACTGGCCCCAAGGAAAATCATCACTGGTGGCGATTACGAGCCATTTGGTATTAAGACCGACCTTGGATGGAGCATCGTAGGAAGTGCATCACATCGTGTGAATTCTCAAGATGTGACTGGACTTTGTCATCGGATATCTGTCAGGGAGGTGCCACCTGTAACGCCATCAGCCGTTATCAAGGTGCAGGAGTCCAATTTCGCGGACACCAGGCCAGGGGACAAAAGCATATCTCAAGGTGATATTCGCTTTCTGCAGATCTTAAAGGAAGGAATCCAGCAAAACGAGCTGGGTCATCTAGAAATGCCTCTTACATTCAAAGCACAAGCTCTTCTCCCAGACAACAAAAGGCTGGCTTTGATTCGACCGAAGCACCTTAAAAGGGAACTGGAAAGAGAGCCTACATTCAAGGCTGACTATTTGAAGTTTATGGATGGCGACGCAGAGAAAGCAGAAACACAACCAGAACCAGGACCGGATCTCGCAAATGGCCTTCTAGGTCCATTCATCCTTGAAGGAAAGAGGGTTCTGCGAGAGATGTGTGGAATCGGATAGGATGATCCACTGCCAAGCACGGTGAAGCTAAGGTGGGGGAGTTAGATGAATGATTTGGAAAATCTTGAGAAGATTCAGATCCCAAGATGCTTCACACCTACAAAATTTGGTGAGCTACTGAGTGTCGACTTCATCACTTTTCTGATGCAGCAGTTGGGGGAAAAGGGTGAACGCCTCAACAAGTCATCCGTTGTTGAAAGACCTATTCAGAAGTAAGTTGTTCTAATGGAGAGCAGTTAGGAAGCAAGCAGTTGCTAGAAACTTATATATTTCCTCGTTAGGCTAAGGGGCTAATAAAGTTGATGTAGCCTTAGTTAAGTAAATGAAAATTGATTGCTCAAATATGTAAATGATATTGTGAACTTGCACTGTTCTATATGTGAGTTAAACAAACAAGCGAAAAGAGTTGAAAATTACCATTGATTTATTTGATGAAGATCATATTGTATATGTATTGACATCTGTTTGAAGGTAATTTTGGTGGGAGTGTAGCAGACGTTCAAAGGTCCCTTATTATTGTTTTGTCCTTTTTTGAAGAGTGTTTAATGTATGCTTGAACTTTGTTTTATTTTGTAAAAATGATAAGAGTTGTCTTTCCGGAAGTCATGTGACCTCTTGCCCCGGATGTTTATATTGTGTTTGGGAGAGAGTAAAAGGGCGGTAAAAGTGTCAACGATGTGATAACGTAATTCTACTGCTGGTCTACTAGGCAAACACGTTTTCACGGTGTTTCATGATTGTGCAAAGAAGAGAATAAACGTGATTGTGGACATCAGTTCGATGCGTAATGTTCTTTCAAGACCAGAGTAGTTACAACTGTTATCCTTCTCTCAGTGGATGTGCATCACTCAGCACTTGGTGGTTATAAACACCTTCAGAGATTTTGAAGTGTTGATGTCATTCATGACTTTCTCAATTCTGTAATAGCTGTTTTCATGCTCATGTAATCTCTCACATCAACATAATCAACAATTTGCTCCTTAAAGCCCTTATTCTGCTTTTGGGAGTCTCCCTTCCCTGGAGTGTGTTTATAAAGGTTTGTGTGCATGTAAATGGTCTGCAAAGGCTAAAATCCCTGTGTTCCCTCCAGAGGGAGTTCCTCTCCCACACACTCCCCCTCAGCCTCCAAACCCTCGATTGGACTCCTTTGTTTACTTCTGTAACATAATGACATCACCATGTAATACTTGTGCTACTTTGGTTAAGACTCCATTACATTTGGTACGTGATACGCAGACTGGGCTCTGGTTTCAGACAGAGGGTGAAAAGAGGTGCTGCAGCACAGGCAGTATGAGACAAATAAAGAGCTGTTTGAACATTAAAGCATGGAGACATGTCCCAGTAGAGGCACAGAATACAAATAAAGACCTGAAAATGAGCAGAATAGGGCCCTTTAAAGGGATAGTGGAAATGGAACCTCAAATAGTTTCGTTTTAACTTATATACAAGCATAATTACGTACCAAAACAATCACACCTGATTAAAAAAATATAATAATTGCCTTACGCATGTTAGAAGCACTTTATTGCAGCTTCCCCGAAGTTTTTTAGAAACGAAATGTTCGACTCAGCCAAACCGGAAGTGACGAAAACTTAGGAAGACGATACGATAACAAACCATGGCGTCTATGCAGAATGAACGTGGAAGGGCAAATATACCAGACAAAGAAGAAGGATTGTACGAGGTATCCAGTGATGATAGCGAGTCAGAAACATCCTCTCGGCGTTCCTACGAAAATGTCGTTTTAGGAACTGAATCTGAATCCGGTTCAGTAAGCGACGATGGTGACAATATTGAGCCAGACGATGGACCATTACGTCCTTATTTGTTCGAGCCCGAGCCCGAGGTGATGGTTCACGGCATGGGCAATGGCGAGGATGACCAGGACCAGGCGCCAGATGATGCACCCCTACGCACAAATAATCTTGACTGGTAGGTCCCTAAGCATAGCTCACGCATCTTAAGATCACCTGTAGCCTTTACAAATATTAATCATGTCTCAGGACTTCTTAACATTTATGAAACTATTAATGTTTCATACCCTTTTAAAGGTAAGAAACTCCGCTAACTGACAATAAGAACAATTGTTAGCTAGAAAAAACACGAGTAATACCAAGCCTTTGAATTAGCATTGAGCGAAACAATGCTAACGCTTTTTTACACACAACACACGGTAGAAATGCCCTTATTACTATCTTAACTGCACAAACAAGATATACGATTTAAAGCTGAGACTCCACAGATTCCACACATGTAATGTCATCACTGTAAGACCTCGAATTCCTGGAGCTATCAGCCAGAAAAGAGAAAGTAAACAACATCCTAGGCTAGCCCGGCTGCCTGTCAAGTGTAGGCTGTACTCACAGTACTGTTAGTCTATCATGTCTATATGATGACTGTAGTGTACACATTCGACACTGTGTACCGGATAAATGGCGTTGTACAAAATGGTACAGGCTAATGATGCATTAAATCAACAAGAAAACATAATAAAATACTCACTCCTTATGTATTCCACTTTCAATTTGAGCTAGAGACCGAGGAATCTCGAAACAATCGTCAGTAAAATGACGGGAGCACACGACTGCCGAATTACTCGTCAGCTTCGGCTCCGTGAAGTTTGCCCGTGTTATCTGAACAAATTTCACCCACTGACGACGAATGGCTGGGTTTCTTGGAAACGCATGCGTCGATACGCCATTCTCTGCATTTGCTGTCGCA